CTCCACACCAGTCATGATTTTATAGACCTCTATCATATCCCCCCTTAGTCGTCTCTTTTCCAAGCTGAAAAGTCCCAGTCTTATTAATCTCTCCTCATACGGCAGCTGTTCCATACCCCTAATCATTCTTGTTGCCATTTTCTGAACCTTTTCCAAGTCCAATATATCTTTTTTGAGATGGGTGACCACATCTGCATGCAGTATTCAAGATGTGGGCATACCATGGCTTTATATATGGAGATATATCTATCTCATACAACTGGAAGGGACTCTGAAATGTCATCGAATCCAGCCCCCTGCCTTCACTAGCAAGACCAAGTACTGATTTTTTTGCCCCAGATTCCCTAAGTGGCCTCCTCAAGGATTGAACTCACAACCCTGGGTATAGCAAGCCAATGCTCAAACCACTGAGTTTCAAGGACCTTCAGGAAATCATGGATCAGCAGAAACTAAAAAATGTATCAAGTGTCAGAGCTCAACCCTTCTTTGGTATCAGAGACACCACATGGGAGAGACTCCCTCTATTAAGAACATATGGACAGACTGGGTCAGACCAATGGCCATCTGCCCAGTATCCTGTCTTCCAACAGTGGCCAATGTCAGATGCCCCAGAGGGAATGAACAGAGCAGGGCAATTATCAAGTGATCCATCATCTGTCATCTAGTCTCAGCTGTCCTGGGAGTTAGAGGTGTAGGGACATCCAGTGTATGAGGTTGTGCCATTGATGGACCTATCCTCCAAGAACTTAATTAATTCTTTTTTTTTAACCCAATTATACTTTTGGCCTTCACAACATCCCCTGGCAACAAGTTCCAAGGGTTGCCTATGTGTTGTGTGAAGACTGTGTGTTGTGTGTTTGTTTGTTTTAAACATTCAGCCTATTAATTTCATTGGGTGACCCCTACTTCTTGTGTTATGAGAAGGGGTAAATAACACTTCCTTATTTGCTTTCTCCACACCAGTCATGATTCTATAGACCTCTGTCATATTCCCCCTTAGACGCCTCTTTTCCAAGCTGAACAGTCCATGTCTTACTAATCTCTTCTCATATGGAAGCTGTTCCATACCCCTAATAATTTCTGTTGCCCTTCTCTGTACCTTTTCCAATTCTAATATATCTCTTTTGAGATGGGGCTACCAGAATTACACACCATATTCAAGCTGTGGGCATATCATGGATTTATATAGTGGTATTAGGATATTTTCTATCCCTTTTCTAATGGTTCCTGGACTGTGGGGAAAGCATCAATCAGAGCTCAAACTTTACTAGCTATAATAAAATCCACAGTAGAGCAAGAGAGGATCAGATAGACCTGTAACTGTGCACATGCCCAGAGGTGGAAACATGGGCACCACGGTAATGTTTAGTGAAAAAACTTAGGGGCCAATCGAGTTTAGGTGCCTATAGAGTTACAGCTTCCCATTGCGAGAACCTTTCACCACTGCCTCCCCTATGACAGAGCTGCACACCATGGTGAGAAATGCAGATGCAGCCTACCTTTCACTGCAGTGTGTAGCAATATGCATAGTACCTGTACTCTACACGCCACCATAAGTGTAAACAGAGCCTCAATTGTCTTGTTTCTTCTGTTTCCTTTCTTGGATGAGATGAGATGAAAAGGCTCAGTTCAGATGAGAGTGCTAAGAGCTGGTATTTCAACTCAGAGAGATTTGACTTACCAAATTTCAGGCCAATCTGGCTATTTTTATTTATTTTAGAGAAGGGGCAAAAATGGGAATTATACACACTCAGTGGCTTTGTAAAGTGTAACCTATAAACCCTTATAAAGAGACTTTGCTGGTGGCCCCATCTTGCCCCATTAAAGAAATATGTTTACTCAGGTTCTCACTAGATAAAGAGCTCTGGATTCTGGGGAACTCAGTTCATTTTATTCCTCCTTATTCAAGGCAAGAAAATCACAAATAAAGTATTGCCCAGAAGCCAGTTCAGAACATTGCATTTTGAACTGAAAAATTATAAGGACTAAATGAGAGGAAAAGAATTATGAAAAGAAATTATTATGGGACAAATGACAATTTGTACGGCTAAAATCCAAATTCGCTGGTGCTATATCCAGACAAAGCAAAAAAAATAATAACAAATAAATAAAAATCAGAGTATCTGACCAAACAACCTTCAGGAAATAGAAAAACCTTGATTAATAATTTCCAAGGCCAGAAGGAACCATTGTGATCATCTAGACTGACCTGCCTAACACAGGCCAGAAGCCTTTCCTGAATTAATTCCTGTTTGAACTAAAACAGATCTTTTAGAAAAACAACCAATCTTGATTTAAACATTTCAAGTGATGGAGAATCCATCACAAACCTTGGTAAATTGTTCCAACAGTTGATCACCCTCACTGTTAAAAATGTGTGCCTCATTTCCAGTCTGAATTTGTCTAGCTTCAACTTCCAGCCATTGGATCTT